GTTTATATTCTAATGTTAGGTAGAAAAAATACAATACAAAATTATGTAAAATGAATCTAATTCCAACCACGTAAGCAAATGCATGAAGGAAAGATATCAAAAGAGTAAAAGCAATTATACTTGTTTATAGTTTACCGTGTTTTCCAGATTTTCTAGAAGGATTGGATGACTACCAGGAAAAACAAGATGCTTTTCAAATTGGATTTTCCTTTATTTATATATGGAACAGGTCTCACAAGCACTGATATTAAGCTTATGGGACATATAGTTTTGTTTCTCTGCAAACTTTTTATTAAGAAACAGAGAGAAGAGAGAGTTGAGGGAAGAGAAGGAGAAAGCGGGGGCAGCTCTCTTATCCTGATTAATCTCTGAAGTGAGATGGGTGGGCGTTATCATCATTGTAGAGCCAGGAAACAGATCAGGAAGGCTCAAGTCCTATGTTGCCTGAAGGGCAGAGTCAGAGTTCAGACCCAGGCTATAGGGCTCTCGGATGCTCCTTCACCATCCTGCCCAGGGTAACAGCCAGGATGAGGCAAGAAACTTCAAGGAATGGGCAAAAGCAGGTGCGTAGAAATTCCTAGTAGTAATTTATATAATAATAATTTTAAAAAATTTTTAATGTTTATTCATTTTTGAGAGACAGAGAGAGACAGGGTGCGAATGAGCAGTGCGGGCAGAGAGAGAAGGAGACGCAGAATCTGAAGCAGGCTCCAGGCTCTGAGCTGTCAGCACAGAGCCTGATGCGAGGCTCTAACTCACAAACTGTGAGATCATGACCAGAGCCAAAGTTGGCCGCTTAACCGACTGAGCCACCCAGGTGTCCCTATAATAATAATTTTTTTAAAGGCTAGTTTTAGTGTCTAGGATTGTGGGCAGTCTTTTCCCTCCTCTTTTTTCTAGCCTGTCTATAAGGTAATGTTAACTTTCTACTTTTATGTATGCGCAAAACGAAAACTGCTTTTGGATTCACTGAACCGTGAGTCTCAAGAGGGATCCTGCTCTCCTCCTGAGGGGACTAGAGGAGTGGGGGCGGGCACAAGGGGAGGCAGGCCACACAGCTCCTGTCCCGGGCCAAACACCACACGATATGGCTGCAGGAGCCTCAAGATTTGGGGGAGGGGGTCTCAGCACACAAGCGCGCGCCTGTTGGGGGGGGGGGGAGTTTCCTGCCATGTCGAGCAGCAGAAGCTATGGAGCTTCCCTGCAGCAGTGAGCCTTGCACCTCTGGGGGCCTCAGCCCCACCCTGCAGCCTCTCCACACCACCCACACGGAGCCCACACGTGTGTGCTCTAAGGCATCTTTACAGAACGCTGTACGCCATTGCTCACTTCCCTACAGTCAGTGTCCTCAACCACGAAGCCTGAAGAAAGGCAAATGTGGAGGATGAGGCAGCACCTAGAGGTGGGGAGGGAGAGGTGAGAGGTGAGCTCTTAGAACAGCTTCTCCTCGGGGGGGATCGGGCTGTCTGGACTGTGGCTCTGGGGATGTCCTGTCCAGCTGCTCTCCATGGCCCCCGTCCTCATCCTGGAGGGCAGCATTTCTCACAGAGCTCTGTCTCCCCTCGGTGGGTGAGTGGGACACTCCCGGGCAGGACGGCCGTAGCCCCAGTCCCAGGAGAGAGGAACAGGGGAACTTAGTTATACAATTCTAACACAAAGAAACACGATGGGGAACCCAGTTTTTCAGAAGATTTTGCCCACAATCTTTCTACCTCAGTACAAAGAGCTTTTATTTTTCCAGATCCCTTATCAATCTGTGTTCATGGGTATAAACAAGGCTGGGGGAGGTCACCTGTGTCCTTTAGGAGAGCCATTTCCAGAAAGCAGCTGGGGTTTAGGGATGAGTGAGCGGCGAGAAGGCAGCTGGGGTGAGTTTGGTGAAGGGAAAGGAGAAGTGGCTTGAGTGGCTAGCGAGGGAAGGTGATTTGTGCGGTCAACCTCGGGAGGGAGGTGACGCAAACAGCCATCTTGGGGGGTTGGCAGAGAGGAAGGGAGAAGGGTAAAGAGTCAAGAGGACCTGGAGGCGCGAGGCTCTTGAGCACCTGGTCTCGTGAGTGGAGAACCTCTTGACGCACTGTCACATCCATTGCCCCGTTTCGAGGCTCACCCCAGACCGGGGAGGTAGATGGCGTTCTGCCATTTCACACGGACATGTAATTCTGAGCGATGACCCCACTTGTCTGCAGTTACATAGCCATGAACTGGCCCTTAGATTGAGAAAGGCTGACCCCAGTTCTAGGAATCCTTCCGTCTCAGACGGAACTATATCCTACAGCCAAGACAAGGGGCCCTTATTCTCCCACAGATAGAAGGAAGGGGATGGAAGAGGCTGGAGACACAGGAAGACTGAGTTGTTGGCGCCCAAGGTGAGGTGAGGAGGGGAGAAGAGGAGAGGGAGGGAGGTCTGTTCAGGATCCCCAGGCAGCTGAGAGGTGGCAACAGGAATCAGATTTTACAAATTCATAGTGGATCAAGTCATCAAGGTGCATGGTCAAGGGACAACTTTACCTACAGCTTAGGTGACTTTCGGCCATACATGGGGGACTCATGGCCCATCAGCCAATAAAATCCCTGGTGGCATTTTCCCACTGAGCATTTACCCAAGGCATGGGGGGGGGGGTGCGGCACACTGAACAGTTTTCATTTTCCCCCATTCCACCTAACTGTGTCACCTTGGACAAATCACTTGAAAAATATGGGAAGAACCAAATATAAGAAGTCTGTGACTCTGCCTTCCCAACCTCCCTGTCCCCTGCTTTTCTCATACGCTCTTGACTTCTGGAGAGAGAATGATTATAAGTATCACATGGACCCTTTCTTTTCACAAAAACAAAGACAAGACTAAAATCCAGGCCAACGAGCCCTCCCCTTGGGGAGTGGGTTCCCTTTTACACCTTCTAAGACAAGGCTTTGCACTAAGCAAGACTCGGGAACAATCTCCCAGCCAGCATTGCCGTGATTTTCCCTTGCTGCAGGCAACTGCACAGAGGATCCCTTCCTTATAATCTTTCTATGAATGATTTAGGACGAAGTGCCATCTCTGTTTGTATCTGGAGGAAGAAAAACGTAACAGAGAAATGAAAATCTGTGGTGTATCCAAAAATAACATCCAGATATGTGGGCCTCCCGGTTCACCTTTCTGTACCAACCGACTCTTCCTTGATCTGCTTCATACAACAGAGGCAGGGTGGGACCCCCCAAGGTCCAGACATCCGGGATCAGTTATCAAAACCATCTTGGGCTAAAGGCAGTGAGGTGGACCAGCAGAGCCAGGGTCCCTTATTCTTACCATTCTGACGGGCCTGTCCTAACTCCTAACACTGCAGGTGCCCTGCAGTGGGTCACATGTTTTTGCTTTGTCAAGTGATCTGCAGCTTTAGGCTGCACAGTCTGCAGAAAAGAGGGGGGAAAACAGAAAGAAAGAAACTAGAGCTTTCTTCTGGGAACCTCACAACCTCCTAGCTTATAAAACAGCCGCCCTGTTACCTTCCTACAGAGTCCCTCCCTCCCCCCCCCCCCCCCACTGGCCAGCAGAACACAATCTCAGGTCAACAACCCCCCTCCCTTGGGTGCATCCAAGAGGAATAATTCTTGCGGAGGGGATCGCCTGATGTTTCAACCTGATTCAGAAATGCAGATGTGGGATCAACGGGGCAGGAAAGGACACTCAGGAAAGGGCTGAATGTCTCTCTCTCTCTCTCTCTCTCTAGTGAGGCCCACCAATTGCCAAGCCTTGGTACCATGCTCAGCATCCTCCTCTGCCTCCATCAAACTTTGTGACTCACAGTCTGTGTGCAGAGTGAGGCAAGCTGAGCGGGCTTCCATGGTGGGTTAAATTGGGAACTTGCTCTTCTCACAACACTCACCCCTCTGGTGCCACCTGAGTGGGTACCTGGCCTAGCAGTGGGGATGGTGGGGATGGGAAGTGAGCACAGCTCCAGTTCTTTGGCTGGCCCTAAATAGCTGCTAGACCCTGAGTTCTAGTGGCTGATGGACTTACATCCATCGAGATCACATCTCTCTCTCTCTCTCTCTCTCACACACACACACACACACACACACACACACACACACCCTGCAGCTCAGAGTGTCTGGAGGCTCTGCAACGCAGCTGATTTCTAAACTGGTCTGGGTTTCCAGAGTTCCATTCATTAGAGCTGCAATGTGAGACCCAAAGCGCTTTCTTTTCTTCACCCACACGGCCTCCAAACCAGAGAAATGCCTGGCGAATTTTAAAGCAGAACAGAGCATCGGGGCCGGGGGGCGTCTGGCTAACTGTTGCACGTCAGTTGAGGGGATGGTTGGGAAAGGGAGGCAGAGAGGTCGGCGCAGCCAGAGGTGGCCAGCTACCCAGAGCGGCGCTGCTCCCTCGGCCGCGTCTCCTCCCTTCATCACTGCGGAGGGTGAATCTGGAAGTTGGGGAACCTGGGACCCGCAGGCGGCAGGCGGTTGGGGCAGACAGCGGCCACGTCCATCCAGGGGCGGCGACGCGAGGCTCCCAGAACTGGCTGGTGCCCCAGCCCTCTGCACCGGCGCCGCCCCCCACGTCCTCGGAGGCGGGCGCGAGGCAGACAGCGAGCTCTCCCCGCAATCCCAGATCGGCTTCCCGCATAAAACTCCCCAGCACAACGCGCTTTTGTTAATTCTGCAAATGCTGTCACACGACCACCTCCACCAACGCTCCCTGCCAGCTCCGCTCCAAGGGAGACCCGCTTTCCCCCAGGACGCGGCCGCTCGGGATCATCCCAGCCCCCAGGCCCTCGACGGACCACCAGCCACCACCCCACGTCCGCAAACAACCAGCCCAAAGGACTTCTGAGGACCCCAGGGTCCCCGGCCTTAAGCATCTTTGTCCTCTCCGCGCACCCGCGCGCGCACAGAAAGACAGAAAGAGCGCGGCCGGGCACCGAGTCCGCGCCCCCCGGCCTCGCCGGGCCCCGCAGGAGGACAATGGTCCGCGCCCTGCAAGTTTTCGAGCCCGGAGGCAGAGCCCTCCTTACCGTACATCTCCGCGGGGCGAGCGCCTCCTGGGAGGCCGCGTCGCCGAGTCGCCTGCAGCCAGCGCCGGCGGCGCCTGCCTTTCATTCACAGCCGGGGCGGCGGATGGCGGCCGCCGGCGGAGGCCGGGGCGGGGCGGGAGCCGGAGCGAGGGTGGGACGCGGGAGGGCCGGGGCCCGGAGCCGAGCGCCCATTCAGCCGCCCAGGCTGCGCGCCGCCGGCCTCCGCTCGGGTTGCTGGGCAGGGCCGCGCCGGGAGGGGAGGAGGCTATGCTAATGAGGCGCCCCGCCCCCTCGGCTGGGCCACTGCCGGGCCGCCCCGCCCCCGCCCCGCCCCGCCCCCGGCAAATTCCCGCTCTCCGCCTGCAGCGGCTCCTGCAGCCTCCTCAGACCCCCGAGCCCCCAGATACGCCTTTCGCAGCCTGTCGCCCCCAGGTCCAGGGCGGCGCGGTTCCTGGATGCGGCATTCCTCGGGGGAGTCACCCACCCAAATTCCCTGCTCGTGTCGGAATGCACGGGACGACAGCAGACATCACCCCTAACCCGCGGGCCCCGAGGGGCAGCAGGGGCTCCCGAAGCTGCAGGTGTAGCCCTCCCACAGATTCGCCCAGGATGCGTAGGCTGAGCCAGGGGGCGCATGGAGGAGGCATTGAGGAATCGCTCTCCTCTCTTAGCTCTCCTCCCTTGGCTCCCTTAGCGAAGCCCCGTTCCCGAATTAAGAACCCCGCTGTGGGCCTTCCAGCCAATCTCCGGCTGGGGCTTGCTACCAAAGAGCGTCCTTCCTGGGCCAGGGACGCGGGAAGCGCACCCCCCCCCCACCAGGTGCTGCAGGAAGCCCGCTTACTTTTAAACCTCTCTCGGTATACGTGTAAGTCATATGCTTTGCGTGCAGTATCCTCCACCTGTGCCCCAGGCCGACTTCTCCCTCTGTGACCGCGTGAGGAACAGACCGGAGGCAGAACGCTCACGCCCCACTCCCTAATGACTTCTTCTGGCCCAGCCCAGGGCTTCCTGAAGGTTTCTCCAACCAGACTCCTCTGCGTCTCACACATTCACCTGACCTTTCAGTACCCTATTCCTTAGTTTTTCCTCTTACCCCACACTTGAGGTGTTTTGTCCCTAGAGTATTCCACAAGTGAGGGAGGTAACACGTTCAACGTGGTGTAATGTCTCCCATTTTACAGAAGAGGAAACTGAGGCGGTTAATTTGAGTTTCTCCCTAGATACTGAGCTGTGTGTCTGCAGGCCAATCATCTACCCTCTCTGAACCTTGGCTTCCTGCAGGACTGTTGGGACGTTTCTATAAAACCTACCTGAAAGTATACAGTGGGCACTCAGTTATCTTCTTTCTTTCCTTCCTCACCCAGGGCAGAAAACAGAACTGGAGAGAGAATCCTGGTTGCTGGACTCTTGGAACAGGGCTCTCTGTTTCTGTTTGTCTCTGTCTTCATCACACCACCCCCCCCCCGACCCCCTCACTGTATCCAGGTTTTATTTCTGCTCCTGTACCTCTGTACCTCTTTTAGCAGCACATGCACGCACTGCCCCCCACCCCCCAAAACCTGGGAGGGGTCTCAGATCTCACATTGAGTCCAGACCCCCAGATGACTCACAAAGAAGTTCTGTCTGTATTCTCCGGTTTTAGGACGGGTCAGGTGGCTTTGAGATCTGCTGAGAGTCACACCTGGACCAGGGTGGAAGGGAGGATTTGGAGTCAAGCTTGGTCTAGACATGGGGAGATACTCCCAGTCCATAATTCTGTTCAACACAGAAGATACTCATTAGCCACTGGTGTCTGCAGCACGGTAGAAAATGCACTGTCTTCATGAGTGAACCGTCTGGCAGGTGTTACTCCCATATGAGGAAGTTGTGGGATGGGGGGGGGGGACAGGGGGACACAGCCTCCTGGCTCCCAGTTTAAACAAAAGAGCAAAATCCAAGGGTCCCAATATCCAGAACAGTGTGCCCATGAAAAAACCTCAAGCAGATATCAGCTATTTAGGTGAACTTTGGCGAGGAAGAAAAGTCAGAGTTGGGATTTCTATCCTAACTAGGCCCTTTCTGCATCTGCGGAAACTCAAAACATGGCGGCAAGTATGGCAGGAAGGAAAGTGGAAAAGAAATAACATTTACTGTGTGCACACTATGGGCCAGGTGCTGGGTCAGGCGCTTTATGCAGGTCATCTCAGCTAAGGCTCTCAGTGACCTTGCAAGATCAACAGTGCTATTCCCATTTTACAGCTGGGAAACTGAAGCCCAGAAAGGTGAGATGACTCTAGAGAATATCAAGCAGGGATTCAAGCCCAGGACGCTCTGCCCAGGATGCATTTTCTTCCCATCAGACTCTGATGCCCTGTAGCTCACACTCATGTACACAGAACAATTGCATTTTATTTATTTTGTTTTTAAACATTTTTTTTTGAGAGAAAGAAAGAGCACAAGTGGGGGAGGGGCAGAGAGAGAGAGGGGACAGAGGATCTGAAGCGGGCTTCGCGCTGACAGTAGAGAGCCTGATGTGGGGCTTGAACTCGTGAACCATGAGATCATGACCTGGGCCAAAGTCAGACTCTTAACCCACTGAGCCACTCAGGCGCCCCAAAACAAGTGCATTTTAAATCAAGTAGCTCCGCCTAAAGGTCCAAAGGCCATGCACCCTTCCTTTCCTTTTACCTACATTTGTTCCTCTGTCTCATCTGTATTTTACTCCCCTATTACCTGGATTTGGAGGGCAGAGTTTTCGTATGAACCAGAGGCTGAATCTCCCCGCAGTACAGAGAAAGGGGGGCTTAAAAGTGGGAGGTAATCCACAACTGGTGCATAAAAACCAAGAGTCTCACTCACATCCTGGGTGTCAGCATCCATGGCATGCCACCAGGCCCCAGGAGCCTGGCTTGCGATGGTCCAGCCTCACACAGCTGCACCAGCCCCTCAGCCACACAGCTACAGCGGCTCTTGCTCTGGGCACCAGCCTTGAGCAGTTAACAGCTTCAAAGGGCCTTCCAGAGGGAGGGAAAAGGAAAGAAGATGACAGCACCAGGGGATACAGCTTCAGAGAAAAAAATTATGAGGCCCAGAGAAGGGTCCAGGGAGACCCAGAGGAGAGATTGTGCCCCTAAGATTGTCATGTAGCTGATTAGTTGTTAAGCCTGAAACAGAACTCAGGATTCCTGACTCCAGGCCTGGTGACTTGAACCCCTGGCGCTTCTCCCTTGAAGCAGGTACCTTGACCTACTTCTCAGAAGCCGCAGGGAAAGAACAGCCTATAAAAACAATACCCAAGTATAGGAGCAGGTGGGTATCCCAGGGCTAAAGAATGCTTCTCCACAACACAGGAAACAGCTCAAGGGCCGGGTCAGTAGGACGTGCTCTTGGCCAGGTTCCTGGAAGCTGCCTTGGGCTGCAGGAGGGACACGGGGGGACAGAGCTGCCTTCTGCCGTGAGATCAGGGCCTGAGCGTCTGGGGTGGAGACGGCTGCTGCACACAGATTTCACCTCCACTAGACCAGATTTTACCAGAGGGTGAGTGAAGTTTGTGATATTGATTATTGACATGTCAAGGCTTAAAAGTACTCAGCAAATCCTCCTGGCCACCGCTGACTTTGCTGCCTTTGGTTCACCCTGTGTTCACGCTCCAAAGGAGTCAGGTTCCTCCATTAGCTGCTGTTGCCTGTGGTCCCTGGAGAACAGACTCCTTTTCTATGAGAAGTTCAAATCCATGTCCACTCACTTCTAGCAAGCCGTTCAGACGTTACCACGCCCTTTGCCCCACGCTCTTCAGTCGTTTTGCTCTGTCTTGCTCCCAGCTGTCAGGAGCCACCGGTTCCCCACCCTTCCCCTCCCATCTCCAGCCTGCCTGATGCTTGCTTCCACTGGGACACACTAAAGGACTTGAAGACCCACGGCATCACTTTCATCCACTGATCGGCATGGCTTAGAAGAGAGAAGAGGACATGGGAAGTGACTAGCTGGTCAGACAGGTGACCTCTGAAGGTCAGATCTGGCTTTCCAGACCTAGGCTAAGGAGACCTACGTTGAACCACAGCCAGAAGGAACAGGTTTGCCCGGGGCCTGGCCAACCTGGTCAGAACATGGTTTAAATGAAATTGGAGAAGGGGGAAGAACACCTCCAGGAAATTGTAAACCTGACTACTAGGGAAGGATACAGAAAGGGCCTATGAGATGCTGAAGTCTAAGGCCTGAAAAGTAGCACCAGTGGAGGAAGAGCTCAATGGAGCCAGATGCCAAGTCTCCAAGGAAGTTACCCTGGCCTGCCTGAGCCAAACCCAGGCTCCCCAGCCTTGTCTATTCACAGTCTTGCATTAGCTTTGAAAAACTACCTCCTCCTTTTCTTCCCAAAAGATGTTCAATCCTTGGCAGCCCTATAATTAGGAATCCTTGGCCAGGCCCATTTCCTTGTCCACCATAATTGAAGTAAAGGGGAGAGTCCATTTCAGCTGTAGCATATCATAGCTATTCCTGGCCTACTTAGAATAGCCACCAAAGCACTCTCAAAGATTTCTTTCATGAGCATTTTCTGGACCGCTTTGGGGACATAGAAAGAGGACATGATAAATGCCCTCTGCTATTTCTACCTTCCAATGTCTTTGAACTCCTTCCTCAACATTAAACTACATTGTATCTCAGCTTCATTTAGCACTGTTCTCTACTGTGGCTAGATTTTAGAAAGCCCACCAAGAAAATAGGTAGAAACACTTCCAGCTACTCAAATTAGTATGTTAAATTCAAATTTCTAGAAAATACATCCATGTTGGGGCATCTGGGTGGCTCAGTCGGTTAAGCGTCTGACTTCAGCTCAGGTCATGATCTCGCAGTTCGTGGGTTCAAGCCCTGCGTCTGGCTCTGTGCTGACAGCTAGCTCAGAGCCTAGAGCCTGTTTCAGATTCTGTGTCTCCCTCTTTCTCTGACCCTCCCCTGCTTACGCTGTCTCTCTCTCTCTCTCTCTCTCAGAAATAAATAAAACATTAAAAATTAAAAAAAAAAGAAAATGGATCCATGTCTATAAAATTCAGCCTGAATCTAAAATTTTGTTTTTCTTTCTTACAAAATCTATTCCCATGTGTGTTTTCCCCATATTCATATAAATTAACAAATCATGTGTGT